CTCGAAGGCTCCCGATGGCCCCCCCCCCCCCCCGTACTCTATTGAGAAGAGCGCTTTTCCAAGCATGTACATGACAATCACTGAATATTTAACTCGAAAAGAATTTATAACGAGGATTTCAAATCATATCCAATGAAAGATATTGGGTTTTAAAAGCACGGTCGAAAGCTTTCAGCCGTGGACATAGCGTGGTATGTGAGGGTAAGGTACATGGAATAAGACGGAAAGAAGAACGAGAAAAAAAAGAGAAATAGCGAAGAGGAGAAAGAGTTGAAGGGGTGGGAGGGTTAAAAACGGATCGATGAAATCCGGCACTTTCGCATAACCGCCATACGTCACCCGCTCTGTTGGCCCTTTTACTATTTTTCTCACGTTTCTCGTTGGTACGAGCCGCAGAATAATCTTTATAAATAATTCATATCAAAAAGCAACTCACTGTGAGTCTACCAAGTTTTCATCATAAATTGTTCAATGAATTATGCGTGTGCCTGGGAATCACAGGGTGTCAAATGGGGAAAAAACAATTCTGTTGGAATTTGTCAAATTTACGCGAGATTTTATTCTGCGGTAATTCCATCTAATGAAAATTTCATTGTTTTTTTTTTCTTACAGCTGATCAAGGACAAGCCTGCACCGGCCATTGCACTGGACAATCGTTATCGTCTTATGCGAAACGAGCCGATGTACGACGCCAACGGACAAGAGACCAACGAGATTGGAACTGATGAACCTGAAGTGACCGAGGAAGAGGTTTACCAAAAATATGGCGCAAGGAGAAATCTGTAGCTTCAGGAGCCAAAAAAAAACATGAAACAAAACCATCAATTTACAAGTACCATTATCAATACGCCAACTAAAGTTGAGTGAAGTATCTTCTTGATTAATTCAAACGGTTTTCACATGCTCCTCGTGGTTTCTGAAAAGTCGACATTGATCTCGAAAACAGAGAACCCCTTGTTTGGTATCGTTGACTGGAGTTCATCTCTGAACGTCTGTAACTCGTGAGCCTTTGAAGCTCATCAGTGCAGAAGATAAGCCAGCGCACTCAAAACAACTCGAGTGTATTTGCAACACGAACGAAATTCCAATAAAACTTACATGATTTTTCAATTTTAATTAGCCCTAGATCTGCGGGCGAACTCGATTTGTCCAACTATTTACAAATATTGAAAGTAGAAAAACTGGATACCGCATTTTAGCCACAAGAAGTATGAGTTCAGCATTTGGTTACATGACCTATTTCCCCAGCGTGTAGTGGAACGAGTTCTAACGTACATAGACAAAATACGTCAGTAGGTTGTTTTGAAAACCCCAAGAGCTGTCGGTGTCGTCGTGAACAGAGCGAGAGTCCCTGCTAGCGACACCTGTTAAGGATGTCTTCTGTAATCGAATACTCTTATCTCCGGCACAAAATTCAAGCCACGGAGCAACGACGACAGCTCATCCTCCGTCTTTTGCAATGATTCTCGATTTCATTGGGTGCACTATTCACCGGGGAATCCAGCTCAAGACGTGAATACAATTTGTCCAAAAATACTGACGATTCCAATTAAAATTAATGATTCACCATTGTTGCATTTTCAATTGAGCCCCAATTTAACATATCCAGGGCGTTCGCATTCTTCTTCGTGTTTAATTCATTTAATGAGAATTTTCGCTGATGATTATTTTCATACATTCAATTCATCAAAGGCTGATGCGCAGCTTATTTGGTCTGCTATCTCTAAATTCTAAATGCAAACGACTTCTCAATGAGTTTGAGTGATCATTGAAGCTATATTTAAATCCCCCAGAGTCACGAGATCTTCGTAAAATTGAACGATTGTATATAGAGTAAAGGGTCAAAAAAGAGTGTACCAGGTATCAAACGTCGTTCTGAATTCAACATTGTTGTATTTCCAATTGAGCATCAATTAACCATCTCCAGGTGATTCGTATCCTTTCTCGTTTTCAATTCATTCGATTAGAACATCCACTGGTAATTACTTTTAGATTATTCAATTAACCAAGGGCTTCTGTGCAGCTTATTTGGTTTACTATCTCTAAATTCTAACTGCAGACGACTTCTCAATGAGTTTGGATGATCATTGAAGCTATTTAAATCCCCCAGAGTCACGACATGCTTGTAAAATCGACAGATTGTGGAGTAAAGAGCCAAAAGGGAGTGTACCAGGTGTCAAACGCGGTTCTGGAAGCGAATCCAGAGGAGCAGCTGCCACTCGAATACCGTGCATAGGCGGTGTGTGTAGTCTGCCTCAACATAGAAGAGGGGAAGGAAGGGGCGCGGAGAGGGGGGGGGGGAAGAGCTTGAGGGTGTAGGAAGGTGGAGAATCAGAAGGAACGATGGAACAAACTACCACCCGACCGGCTGAGAGTAACAAAGACTCGCATTGAACCTTGGACAATGACTAGGAGGAGAGAGAGACTGAAGCAGTGGTGCTCGATAGCGAGCATTTTTAACACTGACAACCACCGACAGTCGCTATATGGCACCGTATAAATGCACCATACACATTACTGACGCATAAAGGACACGATTGTTGTGTGCATTTGTTAAGTAAACTCGACAATGCGCATTCTGATCGTAAAGATTTCACTGAGACTTGTTTTCTTATGAAGAAACTCGGAAAAATATCATTATTAACTAAACTCTAAAAAGTCTTTTCGAGTTTAGAAAGTCGAGGTAAAGAATTAATCTTCGTTTCTTATTCTGTATACACCTCATTTTTCGCCTTTCTACGGCAAATATTATACCACGTATTTACCCATTTCTCGGCTTTTCACGAGGTATTTTCATTTTATTTAACTGACTCTGCAGGAGGAGATAGTTGTTATTTCAGTGGACTATGAGACTTTATGTGCTGAAAAATAGTTGGCATTTCCATTAGTAATATAAAAGTCTTGCAGCTGATATTTTCAGTGCGCATTATCAATGTACTCTGGGGCATACTGTCGGCCAGAAGAATGTTCAATGGAAACAGATCATATGGGGGAGTGGAGTTACCTATTTTGAAATAATTATTCAGTGGAAGCAATCTGTGAGCTGTCTGAACGAGATAGAAGGAACGACTGTGAATAGTGACAACTGACAAAGGAGTAAACCATAAACACGATTTAGTTTGTCTTTCGTTGTTGTTGTTGTCTTGTGATATATGTGAAATCAACGTTGCGAGAATAAGTAGAATATTCGATGGAGAATGTGCACGTGGGGTTTATAGATAGGAGGCATGTCGGTTGGAACGATCGTAATACGCATCGGACGCCCAGTTACCGTTATGTAATGCGAAAGTAGTACTTAACCTGCACAAGTACGTCTCTATAACGTATCTCACGTTGCATATAACCCAAGCGAGATGTGAAAAGAAACTCAGGTAACCATAACTAGGTGCAATAATTCCCACAATCGCGTATAGATCGAGAAAATAAATACGACTAGTCAACAGGTTTAATTCAATTTTCTGTATTTTTTGTTTGTGCGGGGTGTGTTGAATTGCACTCATATTTCTGCCTGACGTTAATTGCAATCTCCGCTGGCAATATTATCGATACTGACCTCCGCTGTTTTTATTCACAATGAAATCATTAATTATGGGGGTGCAATAGCGAATTCTGTTAAGCCCTCACTCATCTTTGAATTCAGGGAGGGACTTGGTATTGTTTATTTCATAGTCATGGAGGATTAGGGATTATACAGGCAATACGCGTTCAGTAACAGCTGTAGTTGCGAGGGTGTATTAAAGCTCTCTCCATTATAGTCCAGATCACTGAGACACAGGAGAATGTCAAACTGATGCTGCCTGGACGGTAGATGCACTGAATCATGTGTCACTTTGATTTCATTATGCGAAGTGCACAGAAAAAAAAAATTATGTCTTTAAGACATTACCTTTTCGTGTGAAATTATTGCACGAATTTTTTCAACTTGTAAAAAGAAATTGCCCCTGAATATTCACTCTGTGTAAAACTTGAGAGGTCCAATTTTCAGGGACATAAAATTCCTCGAAAGATTTGTAAACAGTTATAGAATGAAAAAAGGAGAAGGGAGAAAGGTAGCAAGTATACGCCCGGTACGTGATTCGAGTGAAAGCTTGGAGTGGTGATTACATCGCTATGTTCTCGTCTATTTCTGGAGCATGGTCTATAAGACCAAGGGTTAAGTGTCTTCAGCTATTCAACGAGACTTTACTCACTAAAGCCCGGGGAAAAAATGAAGCCTAAGAAATGCGATGAAACAGGAGAGAAATGAGGAATTCGACTTTGAAGATTATGAGAGGGGGAAAAAATGTGAAGAATATTGGACGCGCAGGGCGAAAGAACTATTTTTCTACGTGCGATGATGAACATCAATTCCGGCTTGTGCCAAAAACGCGTGAAACGATGTGTAAAGCCCTCTCGGGTACTCATACCCCTTAGGAGAGGGCCCAACATTTGCAATCGCTCGCAGCTGTCGTACCTCCCACCTGGCAGCGCATATTTTTGCCTACTAACCACGAAAGAAGAGGCGGAAAAATTGATGCCTCCATCATCCCCATTTACATCCAATCTTCGGACAGAAAGAAATCATCACGGAATTCAAATAAAAAAAATAAAGATATTCATGTAAAAATAATTTTTTTCGTTTCTTAAACGATCTGGAAACCGGATTGACCGAAAGGGAAAGGAGACACGGAGAGTGAAGTCAGGGACACGAATGTAGTGATGAAAGGGGAAGAGAAAAAAAATGGGGAAACAAAATGAGAAGAAATAGAAAGAGTTGAAGGCGAACGAATGCTCGGCCTTGGCTCTCGGCTTTCCAGCACTCAACGTCATCTCTCAACGGCCCCCTGATCTCTCATATTCGTGTTTTAATTTTTTTTTTTTGGCACCTCACGCCCGGAAGCCGAAAGTCGATAGCTGATAGACAAGCTCGTTATACACTTTTTCTCCTCAATTCATTACAGGGAAAATTATTTCTAAATAAATTATTTCTAAATAAAGCGAAACGCTCAATCGATCATCATTTTCCGACGCGTGATCGTGGCTAATTCACCCCATGTATTTGACTTTTACCCCCAGATTTATGAGCATGCGGTGCGATCAAACCCCCAGAAATATAGAGGCCAAAGCCAAAAACTCGAAATGGGCCGAAAAGTGAGAAGGGAGAACAAACGAGATGAATTTTTCTCCTACTGACGTGGGTGGGCACACCACAGGAGAAACGACCTGTGTGTATGCATGAGTGAAACGAATGTAGCAAGATGGGTGGGAGGGGGGAAGTCAAGCCATCGAGTGGAGGGGAAACGTCGGAGAACTGTCACGCAGACCACGTGCATCGACCGAGCGTGACGATCTCTTGTTTTTACAGATGAGAAAGGGGCATAGAAGGAAGTTACCACGGATAAACAAATAGAGGAGAATCGTTTTCCGCAAGATTTCACATTGTTCATTTGATGAAAAAAAACAACAGAGGTTTATAAAAGCGTGGAAATTTTCGCTCCAATCCACCAATTCAACGTGAAATGAAATTTCTAAATCATACCGGATTGCAAAAAAAATGTATCGAGCTACAAACGGAAAATGCCATTGTCGGGGGACAGAAATGCTGCTGTATCAGGGGAACGTATTAGACTTGTGTGAGCTCTCGATGCACAAATTCATGCTATTTTCCATACATATGCCCGGATGTATGTCAGTGAATATTCGTGAGGATCGATAATGGCTTGGAACTGTATCACTCACAGTATTCATAAAATTGGTTCCACAGCAAATACATGACATTCACCTTGGACTGTATAGATTTAATATTTCATCGTCATGCCTTGGCAGGAGAGAGGGGGGGGGGGGGGGGGGAATAAATGTTAAAACAAATCCCCAGGCATGAGCAAATTTGCTTACTGGCATTGTAAGTGTGGCAAAGTGGCGCTGACTCGACGTTTACCACTGAAGAATAAAAAAGAGTACAAAGAAAACAGGAAAATATTACGTTATTTGCGATGGAGATAGCAATGTTCTGGGTATCTACGGTCTTGTGACAATAGTACAATGTACATTTACCGTGAAACAGGGAAAAATTTAACGCAAATTCAATCGACAGACAAACGACATTCTCGCGAATTTCTCAGTCTCGCTGATATATACCGTATAATTGATATGTTTTTCCCCTTTGCGCGACGCAAACGAGTCAAAGACAGAGGGAACAAAAAACGCTCTACGGTTCCTGATGTCGTTTTTTTGTGATTGGCCGAGGAAGTGGGGAGGGGTAAAAGGGGATTCTACTGTCCAAAGAATGGAGCACAAAACG